GAAGGGAAGGGAAGGGGGAGTACAAAGATGCTAACCTGACGTAGATTTATTAGATACTCAAAAGCATCCTTAATAGTGTTGGAAAATGCTTCATTCTTTGAAAAGCTTTCTTCCCATATTGTGTCAAGAGAAGCCTTAAACTCTAACAAGGAAGGAACCATATCCTTATCTTTCTCATCATCCATGACAATGCCCTGTCCAGTTTTCCGAATGTATGAGCTGAGAGCATGCTTCAGTGATTCAAGGGCATTGACCCTGGAAAATAGTGAATACATCCGCTGAAGGTCCTCAATACGATGCCCATCCATAAGCGTTGTAAACCCCTGCAGAGACCAACCAGAGAAGCTATTACTTGTTAGAAAAACAAATCCAAGCACAAAAACATGGACATGGAATGGCTAAAAAGATCAATAATTGAACCTTATCAAGAATGGCAGGTATATGGCGTTCAAGAAGTTGTTTTTCTGCTGTTGCTATTAGTGGCTTTCTTGTACTTGCATCCAGGTAGAGTAAGCATCTTTCATGTTCTTCATGCAATCTAATCTGCAGAAATATGTTGCCCAAAAGTTCTGCAAAGATAAGCATATCCCATGCAAACAGAGAGTAGAATACTGTGCTGATACAAAATTATAGCAGGAAGAAGACAAAAATGCACCTCAACATGCTTCAGGTAATCTGGAACATCATATTGCTGCATGAATTTCATCCCTTCAGCAGCATAAAATTCAGATGTGCACTCAAGGAAAGGCTTCTCAAAGCTTTCCAAGTAAATTCCTAAGGCAGTAAACATCTTTAAAAGATGGTTAAGGAGAGTCCTTTCAACTGCTTCACCAGATCTGCATGACAGGAAAAGGAATGATATATAGCCCTAGATGCTTATAAGCTAGATACTAAAGACACCATAACCATTTCTATAAATCATGCATGAAATTAGTGAAATTCAGTTTTGTAGATGACTGCTTTACAAAGGAACAAAGAACATGTCTGAGACTACAAATGCAAAAGCAACATCATCCTAATAGATTCCCAACAGTGACCAGGATGGATGGGTAGATCAGACAGCAATCAACCCTGCAACCAGCTAAAATTTCACTTCTGGATCATTAAATTAAAAGATCTAAAATTTATAAGATCTAGCTAGTAGATAAACTAGCTGGAGAAGAATTCCCAACTATTTTGGAGGACCTCAAGAAACAATTTGACTCAGATGAAACAGTTTCCTAAAGATCAACCTAAACTATAACATAATTAAACACATATCTTTGGTACCAGAGTTCTAACAAACTTATTGGAAAAGCCTCTAATTTCAAACAAATATATATTACCCTTTTGCTCTCAATATAAGTACTGCCCCATAATAATTACATTACAAAGGACTTAACAGCAATAGGACATGAACGAAAAAGTGTTATATCCTTGTGAAAGATTTTTCAAAACTTTGAAACCCAAGCACACAAATGCTGTAACAGTCAATAACCAACCCTCACCACGCCTCTACCCTCCCAAAGTAAAAAATAAAAAATAAAAATAAAAAGAAAAAAAGAAAACAAAAGAAAGAAAAACAAACCTCACCAGTAAATCAGTATCAGATCCATTAATTAGAGCAAAATTGAAAAAAGAATAATTAAATTTTATATACCGTAAAATTAAATCTACTAGAATTACCTCTCCCTCTCAATCATTCTTAAAAGGCCGGTAACAGTTTTATGCTCAACCTCAGCAGACAATGAAAGATATTTCCGGAAAAGCTGCAAGCCCATGTCCCACAATGAACGAACATTTGGGGTTTGTTTTACATATGTTCTATCTAGATACAAGGCTATACCACGAATCATCAACATCTGATCACAAAGGTCTTGCCAGCATTTCTCAACAAGTGCTAAGAAAACCCCCAGATCTGGGCTTTGCCCAACCAGAGATTTTAGTGCAGAAGATATATGTGCTTCACACTCTTTTTCAATTCGTTGATAAAGGCTTCCTCCCATCTTGTGCAGGCAAAGATCATTGACAGCCTAAAAACAGTGCACCCAATTAACAAGAGGAGACTAGTTCAAAAAAAAAAAAAAAAAAACCAGAAGAAGAAGAAGAAGAAAAAACTTACCTGATAAAGTTTCTCCAAGTCACATGAATCTGGTTGCTTCAAAAATATAGCAGTAATAGCTGACTTCAGCTTTGCCCATGTATCCTCCTCAAAATTAGTAGGCAGTGTTGGTTTAGCTTTGCATCAAGAAAACAAGAATTAGAACTTTCTGCGCATGCATTGTGAGTCATACTTTACTAGATTTGGTATTTCCTTCTCATCTAATAGTCTACTTCCGTACTTCTGTAAAGCTTCTCTAGTTATCTACAGCTGATTGGCATTTCCAACAAATGTTGGATGCCAAATCAGATTAGATTCAAATGAGAACATGTTAAATTTAACCTGTTGTCTATTCCTGGTAATTAATACATAATTTACTAAAGATTACGATAATAAGCATCTGAAGAAAGAACCATACGGTTATAAAGTACCTTCTTACCACTATTTATGCATGAAATTGATGCAAATCATAACTACCTTTACCTACATGGTATATAAGGAGGTACAAATATATTTTCAAAAAGAAGAGGGAAGGAAGGGAGCCAAATTTCTCTTCTTTCAATACCATGTTTAATAATGAAACTTATCACCATACTACATAAAACTAACTTCAAAGGCAACATAAAAAAAGAAAATGAAAATGGAATAAGCTGTTAAGACTAGACAAGTAAAGGTGCAAGATTGCACTCGTAGATCACCAGAGCAGCTTAAGGGTAACAGTCTGAAAGGCCGTCTATTGGATAGAAATAAATCATGTAATTACCCTCATAAATTAAAACCCAGACTTTGTTATTAACTAGCTTTCAAGGAATGAATAGATAACATCCAGAAAAGCAGTACCATTTTTGAATTATCATAAGACAAAATCCAACTTAGTTCATGGTTTTAAATACAGACCTCGCCATAGGGGAAAGTGGACCAATTGGATCGTTTAGCATCCACTACACACCTTCCATTACAAGAAAATTGACAGCAAATACATGACTATCAAGAGATAGTTCGTACAAATAGCAATTCCTGGTGCTAGCTCAGTTTCCTTTAAACTAAGTAGTGGCAAGAATAAATCCAAAATTCAAACCCCAAATCATACAAAATCTAAATAATTAAAAACTACCCACACTGAACGAGAAGCTCCATTTACCTTAAAATTTTCCAATAAGCTTCAACATCAAAACCCAATACCTAATACCACCAAAAGCCCTCGATTATTGAGATCAAACTCAGATACTAACTAACGGGAATTATCAACATGATCCAAAAACCTAAAATCATCTAATTGCGCAACATTTAGCACCGAAGACGAATCCAAAATGAGATCCAGCAAAGAAGCACACCTTTAAGAAGCTTGATGACGAGCTTTTTCGCGGGCTGAGGTGGGGCAGCCGTAGCCTTCTTGCGGGACAAATTGGCGGCAGCGGGAGCACGGGGTTCGTCAGGCCTGACGTCATCGTCGATAGCCATGGCTGCTGAAGGGTCAAATACTACGTCGTTTTCGACTTGGGTATGGTGGCGATGAAGACCGTTCTTGTTAGGGTCGAGAGGAGAGCACGCCACTGCCTGAGACTTGGCCTTCTTCATAGGCGGAGGATGGAG